AAACAGACCAAGAATAAATGTATTACAAAACAAAATCAATATGGACTAACCAGATATTAGACTATACTACAGAGTAATATTAATCAAAACAGAATGATAAAAAGTATAAAAAGAATACAGAAAATGGAACAGTCTTAAGGAGTTCAGAAATAGACCCAACTATTTCCATGACACAAGAAGTTTTGCAAAATTACAAAAGAGAATAATTTTAAATGAATAGAATTATAACTTGACAAAAAAATTGTGAAAAAGATGAACTGAAACCAAACAATGCATGATACACTAAAATTAACTCCAGATGGATTGGTGTGTTCATTATTATTTTTATTTTAAATAGACAAACTTAGAAAGCAGAGTAAAGCTCTTATCACTCTAGCAGTTTGATGATGCCAGCCTTGCCAATTTCATGCTCACTACCCAGCTTCTGTTTACAGTTTGGCTCCCCACCCACATTTGCATTCAGGAAGAGAGTGGGCTGCCCATTCACTCAGTAAGTGTGACTGCCAAGCACCGTGCTAGCCACTTGGTTGAACAATATGATGAGAAAACAAGTATTAATGGTATCTTTCCCTCGCCGAGTGGCAGGGACAAACATTATCTCCTCTTAACTGAAGGCAACAGTGCTTCATTGTACCTCCATTCCGGTCAGGTGAGGCTGCACCTGAGGAACCGATCAGCACAGCGTCCCATGGAGACCCCACTGCACAGCAACACCCCCATTTCCTCACAATCTGTGGCAAGGCTCAGCGTGAGAGGGGTAGTGAGGAAAGATATCTGGGTTTATTTTGATATAATTTAGCATCAAATATCAACTAGTTGCCAAACTAAATTATTTTTAATGTGAAACTCTATGTCCACACTAGTGCTTCACATATATCAAACAATGCAAGTGGCACATTTTTATTAAGGCATTTCTGAACCACAGTATCCCTTCAGTTATTGATTTAAAAATCTCCCCCTGCACAGTACTTGCACTAAGAGTTATGCATTACTTAATGTCGTCTGAAATTAACCTTCCTGCAGCCTCTGCAGCACGGCTACCCATCCACAAGCCTTCATTTCACAGTGTGTTTGGCTATATGTGAGTAACAGAGGCGAAAAGCTAGATGCCTGGGTTTGAAACCTTACCCCGCCAATTTCTTGAGCAACCTTGAGCCAGTTACTTAACCATTCTGTTCTGTAGTTTCCTCACCTGCAAAATGGGGATCACAGTACTACCGACCTCAAAAGTTAACTATGAGAATTAAATGAGGTAACATGTAAAGCACTAAGAACAGTGTGTGTTACACAATAAATGTCATGTAATATTTCCCAACATCTTTACTACTGTTTTTTTTTTTTAAATCAGTCAGTATAGTTTTCTATATTGGAAGTAAACATGGTGCGATTAACTGTGGTTCAATGCACAGCTCACTTTCCTTAAATCAGAAAAACATAACAATTCCCGAAACTACTAAGTATGACAAATCATGACCCATACAGCTCCCCCACTCTAACATCTGCCCCAAGGCCAGCCAGGCAGGGACAAGGCCAGAGGAGGAGAGGGGGAGAGTTCCTCCTGCCACCAGCATTTTAATATGCTGAGGCTTATGGAGACCTCCCACTATGAGGTGACTTCCCACCATCCCTCATCAATGAAGCAAACAGGTGGGTGCTGCCCTTTTATACTCTCCTCATATCTCCCCCATATCTCCCCATATCTCCCTATATCTCCCCCACTGGGCCTGTGCTCCAGCCCCATGATCCTTCCATTTCTTCTTTTGTTAGATTTTACTTTATGAAAGATGTTGAGAGAGCGCAGGTCAGGAGCACATCACCTTGTATCCCTCCCAAGGTTCCTGCCTCTGTGCACAGTGTGTGTATGCTCGCACACCCCACTCATAGGGAAGGACCACAGATTAAGTTAAAGCAATCATTTCATTCATTGAAAGAGACCAGCTCTACTTACTATAGGAAAGGGCAAGCTTAATTCTTTAGGCCTGGCTTGTTTAGTGAGAGTTTACAAATTTGGGGGAGGGGGGGGAGGGTTCAACTATTTTTTAACCATGAATGGGGTTATGTGTTTAATGGAGAATTTCTAAATTCTAAAAGTAATTAAAATTTTATTATCACAACACATTTTACTAAGGAAATTATTCTTTCTTTGGAAAAAAAGTATTTCTAGGTTTCTGTATGATTAGAAAAAAGACTGAAAGGATACACACCAAAACGGCATAGGATTTCGGATAATGTTCTTTTTGTTCAATTTGCGTGCTTAGAAATTTTTGATGAGTATGTATTATCTTTATAAAGAGGAAAACAGGTTGTTGTTTTTAATAGTGCTTCACAAAGAATGAGTTTGATGTAATAATTTCACATTTTATGCACAAATGAAAGTCAGCTTTTCACCTACAGCCAAGAAATATAATCTCAAAAACGCCCATGTCTCTTTTACAATAATAAAATCAACATTTGACAGCATGGCCTCTCTTTCCCTCTTTTACCATTCCCTTCCTTTAGTATCTTAGTGTAGGTGCTCTTTATAGCAGAATCTGGGGCAAGGACTAAAGGTGCTAAGACTTCATTTAGGACAAGAAAGCCCAGGACAATGAGGATAAATGGAGGGAGGGAGGAAGAGAAAGAGAGGGAGGGAGAGA